CAGCAGCCAAATTAATCTTTCCAAAATGCACATCTGATCACATCATCTGCTTTTTTGATCCCAATCTCTTAGGATGAAGACAAAAAACATCCCAAGTCCTCCAGACTTTGACCTGGTCCTTGTCTGCCTTTCAGCCAGCACCATTCCACCCGGGCCTTTCAGAAAGCATCCTCTTGCCAGAGCATGGATTTCCCTCTGCCTGGAATGCTCCCTTCCCACACCCTCAAAGCTTAGCTCAGGCTTCATTCTCTCAGGAAAGCCACCCCCACCAGGCCAGGGGGCTTGTCCTCAGCTCTCAGAGCACTGTGCATTTCGCCTTTTTAACACCTTCCCCTGTTTGTAGTTATATATTTATTCATGTCATTATTTGGTCCTGTTGGAGAGCTCCACCTTCACTCTGCAGAACAGTCACCAATGAGGCCTTGGACACTACTTGAACCTGGAGCAATTGTCTTTCCCCTTTTCCATTCAGTCCTCCCAACGAATGAGGATGAATTTTCCTTTCTCTGCATTCCTTTGCCCAAAGAGCAACTTTTCCCTTCCTCAAAACCTCATCAAGCATGCAGGGTTGTCTGCTGGGTTTGCTCGATTCTTAAATTCAAAAAACACTTACAGGACAATAAAAAGCATGAACACTGTTCAGGAAATGAAAAGATGAGACAAACTGGGAGAAAATATTTGCAAAGCACATACATATTCAAAGAATTGGGCTTAAGATATATAAAGAACTCTTAAAAGTCAGTAAGATTTAAAACAAAAATGAGCAGACAATTTAGACCTATGACCAAAAATGTAAGCACATAAAAAGATGTTCAATATCATTAGTCATTAGGGAAATGCAAATTAAAACCACAATAGAAGCTACACACCTACTAGAATAACTAAATTTGAAAAAACTAGCATTATCAGCTGTTGGTGAGGATGTGGAGCCTCTAGAGATCTTACACATTGACAGGAATGCAAAATGGTTCAGCAATTTTGGAAAACAGTATGGCAGTTTTGATAAACTTATCATACAACACAACAATTCCACTCTTAGCTATTTACCCCACAGAAAGGCAAACATCCATATGTTCACACACAAAGATCTTCAGCTGCTGGCTGTGCTGAAAAGGTCTCCCCAGCAGAGGTCAGACTGCTATGTGTTTACAGGATATTTTCAGCCATCACAAAGGAGATATATAAGATGTTAAGTTATCCGTCTCGCCTTTGCTTTTACGGAGTTTTCCAGTGGATGAAGTTCAAAAATGCCAGATAAAAACGCTATATAGGCTTTGTGTTTCAGACACTAGGAAAACCTCCAAGTAGCTCCTAAGATTCCACTGTGAGAAACACAGAGTCTGATAAGGGGAATAAGTCAGGCTTCCCTTGTGGCTCAACTGGTAAAGAATCTGCCTGCAATGCAGACCTGGGTTAGATCCCTGAGTTGGGAAGATCCCCTGGAGAAGGGAAAGGCTACCCACTCCAGATTCTGACCTAGAGAATTCCATGGACTGTATAGTCAATGAGGTCGCCAAGAGTCAGACAGGACTGAGTGACTTTCACTTTTCCCATATTTAGTTCCTCTAGGGAGGATTTCCCATCTATGACAATGGGGAAAACTGTAGGGAAGATCAGTGGTTTCTAGGACTGAAAGTGGGATGAGAGTGAAATTTGTGAAATTTCATGAAATTTGTGGGTGTTGAAATCTAGATCTTGATTTCAGTATTGGTCACACAAATGCATACAGTTGTCAAAATTTATCAAACCATACACTTAAAAAAAGAGCAAGTCTAAAAAGCTTTTTAAACTACTAAAAAAACTGAAGTATAGTCAATTTACAATGTTGTATTAGATTCAGGTGTACAGCGAAGTGGGTAAACTATATATATATATGTATTTCAGATTCTGTTCCATTATAGGTTATTAGAAGACACTGGATATAGTTCCCTGTGGTACACAGTAGGTTCCTGTTATCTATTTTATACATAGTAGTGTGTATATGTTAACCACAAACTCCTAGTTTATCTCCAATAGTTTTACTTTATATAAATTATACCCAATAAAACTGACTTAAAAACTTACTTGAAATTCAACCATAAAAAAGAAATAATTTAATTTTAAAATGGGCAAAGGACTTCCAACAAGCATGTAAAAGATGCTCAACATCACTAACCGTTAGGAAAATGCAAATCAAAACCACAGTGAGAGGGTCTTCCCTGGAGGTCCAGTGATTAAGACTTTGCCTTCCAGTGCAGAAGATGCAGGTTCAATCCCTGTTGGGGGAGCTAAGATCCTACAAGCCTCCCAGCCAAAAAAACCAGAACATAAAAAACAGAAGCAATATTGTAACAAACTCAATAAAGACTTTAAAAATGGTCCATTTAAAAAAAATTTTAAAAAAACCCAGAATGAGATTACCATCTCTTACCTATTTAGATGGTTACTATTAAAAAAAACCAAACTCAATGATGTAAAGTAATTAGCCTCCAACTAATAAAAATAAATGAAAAAAATAAAAAATAAAAAAAATTAAAAAAAAATAAAATAAAAAAACCAAACTAACAACTGTTGATGAAGATTTGGAGAAACTGGAATACTTGGGCACTGTTAGTGTGGATGTCAAATGGTGCAGTTGCTATGGAAAACAGTATGTTAGTTCCTCAAAAGATTAGGATTATTAGATGATTCAGCAATTCCATTTTTGGATACATATCTAAAAGAATTGAAATCTGAGTCTTGAAGAGGTATTCATATACCCATGTTCATAGCAGCATTATTCACAAAAGCCAAAAGATGGAAGCAACCTACATGTCCATCAAAGAATAAATGGATAAACAAACCGTGGTATATACCTAGAATGGAATATTATTTATCCCTAAAAAGAAAGGAAACTCTGACATATGGTACAACATAGATGAACATCATGTTAGGTTAAATAAGTCAATTGCAAAAAGACAAATACTGTACGTGAGGTGTCTAGACTGGTCAAACTCATAGAAACAGAAAACAGAATGGTGGTTGACAGGGGCAGGGCAGGGAGGTGGAGGGTGGATTAGGAGCTGTTTAATGGGTACAGAGCTTCAGTTTTGCAAGATGATTCTGGAGACTTGTACACAACAATGTGAATATATTTAACTCCAACTGAACTACACATTTTAAAATGGGTATGACAGTAAATCTTATGTATGAGTGAAGTGAAAGTCACTCGTGTCTGACTCTTTGCAACCCTGTAGACTATACAGTCCATGGAATTCTCTAGGCAAGAATGCTGGAGAAGTGGAGGAGGCAACCATGCCCTTCTCCAGGGAATCTTCCCAACCCAGGGATCGAACCCTGGTCTCCCACACTGCAGATGGATTCTTAACCAGTTAAGCCACCATGGAAACCCTATGTGATGTGTATTTGACTGCAATTAAAAAAAAAAACAAACAAACAAAAAAACAAATTAAAAAACAAACAAATTAAAAAAACAAACTAAAAAAACAAATTAAAAAAACAAACAAATTAGAGCACTTTAGGAATGTGTGTGTGTGTGTGTGTCCTATATACAAAAAAAGCCAAGGCAGGGAATATATGAAATAAAAAGAAAAACATTTCTCTGTTCCTTTTTTCTCTCTAGTACATACTCTCATTCCCATTTCCTGTTGAGAGTCACACACACAAACATATAGCTTTAAAACGTACATAAATGGAATGAAACTATACGCGTGGTTAGGTAACCTGCCTTTTCCACAGTGTCTACCTCATTTTAGAGATTTTCTATGTCAGTATACAGCCAATGACCCCATTCCTTCTATCACACTGCATTTCATAGCGGGGATGTGCATAATCTATTTAAGCATTTTTCTCTGGATGAACAGTTACATGGTTTCCATTTTTTCCCTTCCCCTGACAAAGCTGCAGTAAACATCCTTGTACATTCCTGTGGGCTTGTAAGAGTCTCCCTGTGGGTCACAGGCCTACAAGTGCTCTGTTGAAGGAACGTTCCTCTAAAATGTTACAGATATTGCCAAACTGCCTTCCAAAACATCTTCACTAAGACTACCGCCTACCACTGCATGATTTTGCCTTGTTTTCACACTCTCACTAGATTATCAATTTTAAAAATATTTCCTGCTGGGCTTTCAGAAGCCCCCAGAACCCCAGCCAAATGGCCCACTTTTCCCACTGACACAGCGGCCACCAGCTAGGTCTTGTTCTTGCTCTCTCTCTAGGAATGTCCTCCCTAACCCCACTACCCCCAGTCCCTTTCCCTTCGCCTTTCCAAATCCTTCCAGGTGGGCTGTAGCTCCCCCACTTCAGCAGTTTTCCTGGACACCTGGGCCTTACCTCCTGCTTGGAGGCCTCCATGGAGTCAAGGCTTATCTAACTGCACCTTCCACTGCTTCTTCAACAGCGCCTGTTTCTTAATCTAGAGCTTTTGAGGCTTACCCACCAATATCTCTCTACCAGCAGAAGAGTGTGAAAGCTGAACCTGGAATGTCTGGGGAGCACAATTGCAAGGCTTCCCCAGAGGCTCAGTGGTAAAGAATTTGCCTGCCAATGCAGGAGATGCAAGTGACGTGGGTTTCATCCCTGGGTCGGGAAGATCTCCTGGAGGAGGAAATGACAACCCACTCCAGTATTCTTGTTTGGAGAATCCCATGGATAGAGGGTCTGGCGGACTGCCATCATGGGGTCCCAAAGAGTCGGGCATGACTGAGCATACATAGCACAGGGAGAGGAAAATTTCTTTCAAATCCCTCGGTTTAAGATTCTAGTTTTATATTTAAGATGTTTTAATACATGTCTCACCCCATAAAAGTGGTGCTTCAGGGGATGCCCCACATCGATCCCACATTTCTGTGAAGTCCCTGGCACATCTGTATACCCAGGTAGAAAAATGCAATCTTAGTTTGATCTTCCTCACTACTCCCAGAGTTCTCCAAAAGAGACTCAGATGTAGGCTCACCTGTCTGGTACAGGGAGGTTCAGTAAATCCACTCACTGTTGGGTGCACTTTCCCTCTCTTCAACTTGTCAGTTGGGGAGGTCAGGGATTGGAAAGCCATTTCGTGCTTTCACGCTCCTCTCGCTTAGGCGCTCTGGACGACAGGTGGCGCCCGGGTCGGCCTCGCTGCCGAGCTTGTCCCGCTCCCAGCACCTGCTCCGGAGACGGAGCCCTGGAGCGGTGTCGGCCACTGCGGTGTCTAAAGTACTGTTTCCCAGTCTCTGCACGTACACAGGAAGGAAGCCCGACTCTGGGAGGCGAGGAGCGGTCCCGGGAGGCTTCATCTCTGCTTATGCGCAGCTGGAGACGCGCGGCGCCAGCCCTGCAGGAGAGCCCGGCGCACCTCGGTGCGCACTGGTGTGATTTAAAGACATGGTAACAAACTGCTGTCTGATTTCTGGGAACTGGCTCCCCGAGCTTGTTACAACACCGTCCTTACCCCCCGCCAGGTTTGGCTTCTTACTCGCTGGAGGCAGGGGTGGGAGGTCAACAACTTGGGACAGAAGGATCAGAGGAGAGGCTTCGTTTCTCTGAAGCCACCTAGGCTTAAGGCAGATGGCCAACTCAGTGCTTACCCAAGCAGGTCCTGGAAAACAGTAGACTCTGGTGTATGTGGAAGGAGAGTAAAACCTGATCCTTTTCCTGACGGGGTGCATGTGCTTCCCCAAATGTGGTCTACCCACCATTAGCATCATTTGCGAAAAATGCAAATTATCGGGCTTTACTTCCATATACTAAATCAGCTGGAAGAGGCCAGAGGTGGTAGCCATGGGTCTGTGTTACATTTACGGGAGTAGTTCTCTTACTCCCTGAGTGTGACCAGCTAAAAACATTGAGTTTATATAAACAGAGTAGAATGGTAGTTGCCAGGGGCTGAGAGGTATGGGAAATGGGGAGATGTTGGTCAAAGGGTACAAAGTTTCAGTTATGAGGGATGAGTAAGTTCTGGAGATCTAATGTACAGGATGACTACTCTAGTTAATAATACTGTATTGTATAGATGAAATCTGCTAAGAGTAAGTATTCTTGCCACACACACACACAAAGGAAACATATGAGGTGATAGATATGTTGATTAGCTTGATTGTGGTAATCATGTCACAGTGTATACTTATATCAAACATCATGTATGCACCTTATTCAATTTTTACTCTTCAATTACATCTTAGTAAAGTTGGGGGAAAAAAAACAAACCAACCACAAAGTACAAAATCTTCCTGCTCTGATTCTCTATTCTTTCCTATCATGCCCTAGTTCTCCTTTGTAAGTTAAATCTTGCCCAGCATTCCCTTAGCTGTGTCAGCATGAACATATCATGGGCATCTGCTGGTGCTAGGGGTAATGGCTATGAGTGTGGGTTCCAGGATCAGACTGTCCATGTAGAAATCTTAGGTCCTCCCTTCCTTACTAGTTATCTGTTTCTATAAAACAAGCTAGGTGATACAAAACAGCAAGGCATTAATTGTTATCTGTCATGATTCTGGGAGTTGATTGAGCTCAGCGGGGTGATTCTTACTCAAGGGTAACTTACACGTCTGGTGACTGAGGCTGGCTTTTGGCTGAGACCTCAGCTGGCAAGAACATCTACTGTGGCCCCTTGATGTGGCCTAGGGTTCCTCATAAAATGACAGGTGGGTTCCAAGAGCAAGCACCCCAGGATAGCAAGGCATGGGGAAACTGGATTATGTTACATGACTTTGGAGGTCCTACAGGGTCACTGGGACCCTGCATTCTATTTGCCTCTTAATAAGCAGCAGCTATAGAAGTTTTTTAAGACCACCACATCTTCTAAAATCTGTATCCTTAGGCAACTTACTTAGCCTCTTCCTGCTTCAGTTTCCTTATCTATAAAGTAATGGTAACCTTGTTCATAGAATGTTATGAGAATTAAATGAGCATGTGTGTAAACACTCAAGCGTAGTGCCTGGCACATGGCAATTGCTCAGAGGTAACGATTATTCTAGGGATTATCTCTTTACCATCCACCCAAGCCTTTGAGGTAGGCATTTGACCCCCATTTTACAGAGGGTGGGACAGGGGTCCTAAGATGATATAAAACTTTCCCAACCCAAACATCTTCCCAATTCTTAGCAAAGGTTCTTCTCCAGGAAGGACAGGGGACATTGGAAAACAGTTACAACTGAGCTTCTGGCCCAAGGTAAGTAGGAACCCTCACCTGGAACAGCATTCCTTAAACCATGGTTCCTGCACTGTGAAACTGAGTGAGTGGGCCACAGTTAGCACTATTTTAAGTGATCATCTAATTAATAATACAAACTGAGAAATAGAGTACATTCTGTAAGCAAGTAAACTTTATGAAACTTCCGTTCCTTATATCTGTTTGCCTCAGTGGTTTTCAACTGTGGACAATTTTGTCTCCCAAGGAGACGTTTGGAGATGTCTGGAGACAGTTTTGATTGTCATAACTAAAGCAGGACAGGAAATGCTTCCGACATTGAGCAGGTACAGGCCAGGGATGCTAAGTATCCTACAATTCACAAGAGAGCCCCTCTCCCCACTCCCTTAGGAATAAATTATCCAACTCAAACCTTCAACAGTGTAGAGAATAAGAAACCCTGGTACATGGATACCTATATATCAATATCTAGGTGTACTGGGGTGCCGTGTGCAATGTTCCATTCTGTGGGTTGTAGTCAAAAAGCTTGAGAGCCCCTAGCCTAAAAGACTCCTTGGAAGTCCAGCTCCTGAACCTAGTTCTGCCACTGAGGTTTGCTCACCAGGCCCTAATAGCATCTGTCCTTGCTCAGAGGATCTGAATGCACTATTTGTTTCTTCTGGTTTGCCTTTATTGTCAGATCTCTCCAAATAGGATTTCTCCCAGGAGAGTTGGAGTGTGGGCATAAGTAGCTTCAGAAGAGAGCCTTCTGGGACTTCCCTGGTGGTTTAGTGGTTAAGACCGTGCACTTCCAATGCAGGGGTCTTGGGTTTGATCCCTGGTCAGGAAACTCTGACTCCACATGCTGGCACGGAGCAGCAAGAAGAGAACCCTCTAACACCCATTAACCCTGGTTCAGACAGAAGGTTTTCACTTTCATGTTGGCCAGTTCTGAGACCCTTGGTTTTCCTGTGTCCTCATACTGAGCTAATCTCTAACACTAGTTGAACACTTTCTGTAAACCCAACACTTCTCAGTTCCATGCATTGGCTCATTTCTTCCTCATAGCAACTGTGTGAAGAAGATTCTATCATGGAAGTTTTACTAGTGTGGGAACTAAAGCTCAGAGAGGTTAAATCACTTCACTAGGACCATACAGCTGGTCAATTGCAGAGCTAGGGTTTGAACTCAGCCTAATGACCTATACTGCCACTTTCCAAGCTATGTTCTTGGAACCTAGGCTTGAAACACGTCTATCACACAGACAGACCTGGTAGGAGAGGACAGATTCTAGGCTGGAGCCAGGCAGTGTTTAGTCTTGTTCTGACTCTCCCCTTTACCAGCCATGTGACCCCGGAAAGCAACTTTTAGAGGTTCAGCTTCCCAGTCTGTCAGGTGAGGATTCCTGTACCTGCTCAGCCTGTCTTAGGAAAACTGCCCTGGGAACACTATGGACACGGAACTGCTTGGGCCAGTCCTTGAAAGACACCCACCCTGTCACCTCTCACCTCTTTGACATGCCTCTTCATCCAGGTTCTCATTTGTCGCCTCTTAGAGCCTCCTGTATCCATCAGCTTGGGCGGCCAAACAAATTCCACAGATGGGGTGGCTTAAAAATCTCACCGTTCTGGAGACTGGAAGTCTGAGATAAGGCACCAGCAGACCCAGTCCTCGGTGAGGACCCTATTCCTGACTTGCAAGTGACTTCCCTCTCACCGCGTCCTCTCATGACGGAGACAGGATGCTCTGGTGTTGCTTCCTCTTATAAGGGCACACATCCCATCATGGAGGCCCTACCCTCCTGACCTCATCTAAACCTAATTACCTCCAGAAGGCTCCACCTCCTAACACCATCACATCGAAGTTTAGGGCTTCAACTCGAATCCTTTCTCCCTGGAACTCCCAAAGCCTTTTATCTACTGGCCTCCAATGGCAGCGACACTGTCCTTCCAAAATTCCTGTGTCTTCAGAGAATGTCCTATCTCCTCTTCCAGCCTGAAATTTTCACAAGACAAAGCCTGTGTTTTATTTGCTTTTGTTTCTTTGGCTCCTGGCTTTGTGTAGGTGCTCAACAATCGCCTGTAGGGTAAATGAAAGAACAAGTGGGGGAGTGAATTTCAGGTGTGAGTGGTTGCTGGGTTTCAGGTGGTGTTTGGCAGACACAAACATGCTTCCAGCAGTAGCAGCTGGCACTACACGTGAGAACAGTCACCAGGTTTTTACACTTTCATCTGCTCCTGAGCTATTCTGGAAGCTTCGTATATAGACGCTGCTTTTCTGAATGAGGCCACCAGCAAGGGCCAGTGCTCTTTATCTTACTAATCCCAATGAAGCTGTCTCCAAAAATAGCTTGTCTCTGAGGATTGTGCATTGGGGAGAGAACAAAAGCAGAATCATAGATTGGCAGAGCTTAGGGGTTGTCTTTGACTCGGTGCTTCTGATGGTCAGAAAATAGACAGAAGCCTAGAGAGAGGTGGGGACTTGGGGGCTGGGCTATGACCACATGCCTGGCCTTCAGACTCCTGCCTCCACTGAGGGGTATATGAAAGCACTAACTACGAAAACACAGGGGTGCTGGGTAGGCAGGATCCAGCTGACATTCTTCAGATGCCACTTCCTACAGGAAGCCTTCCCTGACTAGGACTGCCCCTGACCCAGCTCCCAACATCAGGTTAGAGGTAGGAGCCCCTGCCACGAGGTCCCCGAGCATTCTGTTCTACTGCTATGAGAGCATTCCAACACTCATGGGAGGTAACATACACTCAAAAATATTCAAGCACCTACTCTATGGGAAGCACTACTTTAGACACTGAGGATATAACAGTGAACAAAACAGATAATAATACCCACCCTCACGAAGCTTGTATTTCTAGTGAGCATAGGAAGACAAAAAACAAAACGTAAAAACAGATAACAGATATTTATATAACATGCTCAGTTCAGTCGCTTGGTTGTATCCAACTCTTTGTGACCCCATAGACTGCAGCATGCCAGGCCTCCTTGTCCTTCACCATCTCCTGGAACTTGCTCAAACTCATATCCATTAAATTTGTGACACCATCCAACCATCTCTTGCTTTGTCGTCCCTTTCACCCCCTGCCTTCAATCTTTCCCAGCATCAGGGTCTTTTCCAGGGAGTCATATAACATGCTAGGCATCAATAAGTGCTGAATGATGTGGGCGGTGAAGAGGTCAGTTTTAAATAGGACAGCCAGAGGAATCAGATGATCCCTGAGAGGTGATGCTTGAGGAAAGATGCAAAGGAGAGGGAGGAAGCCACATGGACAGGAGGGGAACTAGGCAGAGGTGCCAGCAAGTGCAAAGGCCCTGAGCAGGGAGCAAGGCTCCCCAATTAGAGGAACAGCAGTGTGGCCACAACGGAGAGAGGGAAGGGGAGGGCCCTAGGAGAGAACGTCAGAGCAGACTGAACATTTGTCCACTCCCCAGTTCCCAATGCACACACTTCAGTGAACTAAGTAGGAAGACAAACATGTCCAACTCTTGGCTGTTAAGCTTCAGAAGGCAGGTCCAGGGACAAGGCGGGAGGACTGTGAGAGGATGCAAGTTCTTCTAAAGTGACATGACTTTTCTCCATATCTTCACTCTCACCCTTGGCCAACCTAAATAAAGATTCTGTGGGCTGATGGGGTAGGGTGAAGATGGTCCTGAAGGAATCTACTGAGAGGAGGTGGGGTAGCTGGAAGCTACTGTGTCTGTTTCCAGGGCGAGGTGGAAGGCCCCCCAGAATCTGAGCTGAGGATTGATTGCTCTTCTCCTTTTTGGCATCTGCTGAGGACCTTTTGGGGATAACAGGCAGGGTGAGGCCAACCTTCATCTGGGGAAGTGATGCTCAGTACTTTGCCTAGGTCCCATGCACTCCCCTCCCAAGGTCCCAGGGCACTTACCTATCACCTCCATGCCCCAGATGGTAGATGAAGCCTGACACTTGGGGTCTCACCAGGAGAGGATGGTGGTAGACACCCCCCACCCCAAATCCTGTCACACACATAAATGGGATTCCCTGGCGACTCAGCCACCTCTCATCCGGGCTGGGCTCCGTGAGGGCTCCACCTCTCCTGTGTCTGTTTCTCTCTGGATTTGGCGACTTCTATATATCAAGGGAGTAAAATCTGTTGAGATCTATGTATCTGTTGGGAGATTTGGGCTGTTATGCTCAGTTTTCTCTGGTTTTCATCACTCTTAAAGGAGCTGTTGGTTTAAGAAGGTTCAGTACACATAAGGTGGCCCATAGATATTAAAAATAATGCCCAGTCTGCCAAGCTCTTCTGTATTTTGTCTTATCCCAATGTGGTCCGTGCTAATTGTATCCACTCTTCATACAGGGCGATCAATCTCAGGCCTGAGTAGCTGGTTCAGACAGTGGAGATGGGCCTTGAACCCAGGTACATGTTCAGAGCAGCCCAATGTCCCCTCCTCCCACTCCTTTATCACGGGATGCACTATCCCTAAGACATCCAGGCTTCCCTCACACACATATTCTGGCTTTGTCACTCTAGAATTTTCTATAATTTTTTAATTAAATTTCACTTTTCCTTTTGGTTTGAGTCGATCACTGCTTTGAGTAATATGTTTCTTCATGCTATAAGACACAAAATTCTTTTACTCTGTCATAAACTTGTGTCTTTTTCCTCAAGTTGGACCTGAGTCCTAAAACCCTGACATCTGATGAATAGCACTGAATTTTTTTTCTTTGTCCTTTTACTCAGACTTTCTAAACTTCATATATCAAAGTAATGAATTGAATAACTAATACTCTGTGAATAGCTACCCTTTATTGGATATTTTCCAAGTGACTGGCACGGTGTTGTTTTACCCTCATAATCTCATTTGATCTTTCTAATATCTCTATGAAGTATTATTATTATTATTACTGTTTTATAGTTAAGGAAACTGAGGTTGTGGCAGGAGTGGGATTTGAGCCCAGAACTGCAGGATTAACAACTGCCCTTGCCAAGCCACTGGCCTCTTTACTTTAGTTGCTGTAAAAATGTATCCCTGTGCATACCTCAGGGGTGACAAATGACCAGCAGTGGTTGGGTAGCTGGAGATGATAAAGTAGGGCTGCTTTGTGGCCAGTTGTGAGGTCAGAGCAGAGAGGACCCGCTCTTCCCAAGGGCTCTCGATGAACTCGTGGCCTTGGCTGGGGTATACCGCAGTGAGGCTTCCTGGAGAGGTCAGCGTAATGCAGGCCCTGGCTGGGGGCAGATCCGGAACCTAGCATTCTCTGGGGATGTGAGCCATGGCTTGGTCAACCTTCCTTCTGGAAAGAGGTATGAGGCTGTCACTGCTATTTTGTGCTGCCTGGGTGGCCTCCAAACACCAATCATGTCTGAGGTCACTGGAACTGAGCAACTCAAGGAATGAATACCTTTGGTGACTGTGGCTTCAGATACCCAAGGTCCAAATTATACCTTGGTCTGCCCAGGGGTCCACAGTTCAGTGTTTACACCACAGTGAGCTCACTGAATTCTCTGTGCTTCCTGCTGGCCTCTGATGATCGTGTCCATTTGGTAGATGCGGAAACAGATGAGAAGAGGCAAGGTAAATTGCCCAAGGTCTTGAACCCAGGTCCTGTTGACTCTAAGTTCCCTTCACTGGTGGTCTTCAGACTTCATGCTGTGGAGCCCTGGAGTGTTTGGGGCAGGCCAGGGAAAGGGCTGAGGAGGTGGAGGAGGAGGCCAAGGGGCTGAGGCTCTGTCTTCCTTTTCCTACTTCACTCCAGGCCACACTTGCATCAGGATTCTATGACAGACTTGTTTGAAATTTTTGTGTTGCTAAGAAAATATTTCCAGAGGACTCTCTCAAATGGTACTTTCTTCTCTGGGAATTGGGTGCAGGCTCTTCCTTCCCTAGGACTCCCTTTTTTCTATAGAGGCAGGAAGATACTTGCTCTTTGTTGGAGAATATACTCAATCCCAAGGTGGCAGCTCAAGGGAAGGGAAACATACTGGACAGGGCTGCAGCAGGTCTTAGTTCTAGGTTAGTGTGACTTGGCAAGTTGTTTACCTCACCCTCTGTATCTGTTAAGATGAGGGCATTGGCCTACATAATTGTTAACATCCAGTTTCATTCAAGTCACCAGTGAATCTGGAATATCATGCTTAGTTCATAGGATATTAAACAGAGCTGAGTCACTTGAAATTCGATGAACATGTAGTAATTTTTTTTTTGTATGCATTTTTTTTTCCCCTGGAAGTTGTATCTATAGCTTTCATCAGAGTCTCAAAGGGGTCTGTGACACAGAACATCTAGCATCTCAGGATTTTTTCCTTTTTCTCTTTTTGGCAGATATGCTGGGGAATCATATTTCTCCTTAAGGAGGGGGCTAAAGTTATAAGAATGCTGTGAGAAAGCTATTTGGAGAAAGGAAACAAGGGAAACTTATAAAGATAAGCAGAGCTAAAAGATGGAAGCTATATCAATGAGTAAGAGCCGGTGAGCAAGTGGGCAGTACTGTTTAAGGTCCTGGATCCAGCCATGCCTGATACCCCAACACTTTTCAGCTAAATAAATGACTGCTCCTCCCTCCTTAAGGCATTTTCTATTTCAATCATCTATAGGATAAATGATGTGCTAATATTATTGGAAGAAGCTACTGCCATTTAAAAAATTAATGAATCACAACATAAAAAAAGCAAAACAGGAAGAGAAAGGGATTGAGGGAGTTTCTTCTTAGGTTTTTTTTTCCCAATTTCAGGGAAGAAGAATGCTCCTTATTTTGTTCCCCATCCTTTATTCTTTTAGCAAACCAGTGCCTTTTAGAGGCAGAAAAGACTTTAGAATCAATCCTGACATTACACAGATGGGAAACCAAGATCCAGAGGAGATGTGACTTTCTCAAGGTCATATACTAAATTGGAAGCTGCACTGAGAGTAGAACAGAAGTTACCTTCTTCAAGGTATGCTCCTCCTCTCTGCGAAACTTTCCTCAGTGATTCTTTTCCAGGCAGGCTCTTCAGTTAGCAGAGCTTAGGAAAGTTCTTACACCCACATGTGTTGTATCCACACATGGATCCTTATCTTGTCCAGAAAATTCTGCATTCTGGCTTTCTTTGTCCAGTTCCATGGGCACAGGCGAACAATGCAGTGTTTTGTCCAAAGATGTTGGAGGAGGTAAGGGACCCATCCCCTCACAGGTGACAGGCCCACCTAGGTAGCCCCAGCTGGGATCGGGGTCCTGGGGATCTGGACCAGGGCAGGCATTGCCCCATCCTGCCCACAGCAGGAGGATTTACAACTGTTAAGGGTCAAAAGCAGACAAGCAGGATTTATGGGACGAGTCCAGGGGGTCACTTTCAGCCACAGGGTTAGATCAGTGCAGCCCTTAAAGGCAGGAATAGCAAAGGCACAAACCGGGGCCACACAAGCCCAGGAGAGAGGGGCACACCTGAACCCGAAGGCAAAGGAAAGTCGAGAGCCTACCTGCCACCGCATTCACAAACCACTCAAAGCCGCACAGGAGAAACGACCTTTAATGTCCGACTTTTGTTTCCAACCCCGCCAAAGTGACACCCTTCAGGGAAGTACAGGAGGGGCTTGAGAGGTAAGAAATCAGGAGACAGACAGCGCCCCGCGCCTCCTGGGCGCACGCACACTCTTCCTGCCCCCGTCGCGGGCGGCCCCACACACGCACACACGCGATACACGCACATCGCACAGACACACGCACGTGACCCCACAGTTAAATACATGTACAGAGGGACTCGTTTAGATATATACAGAGAGAGAGACGGAAATCCCGGCCGCCGTCGGGTCTCCAGGCTCTCAGCATGCTCGGCCCAGCTCTCCGCGCCGTACCTGGCACCCATGCCCCTGCCAGAAAAGCAGCTGCCCCTCCTCCCGCCCCCCTCCCCCCGTTTCCCGGTGGGGCCCCGAGTCTACCGGGCGCCGACACTCCCCTCCCCCCTCCGCCCGCCCTCCCCCCCACGATGATGGGCTCCCCAGGGAAAGGAAGCGGTGCGCGGGGACCCTAAAACTGCCCGGGCGCCAGGGGCATGTTGCTTTTGAAGCCGGGCTGCCCGTTGGCCACGTCGGCTGCGGCCTCGTGGCCGGCGTCCCCGTCAGTCCCGGGGCTCTCGGGCTCGGCAAGGAGCTTGAAGGTGAAGAGCGGACCCGAGTCGTGGCGGCCGCGGCGGCCCGGGGGCTCGGGCGCGGGCAGGCTCAGGAGGGCGCCGGGCGCCTTCCACTCCGGGAAGGCGCACAGCTCGACGGGCGGCGGCGCGCCGCGGCCCAGGTAGCCGGGGCTCGGCGAGGCCGAGGGCAGGGTCCGCTGGCTGCCGCTCAGGCAGCTGCCGCTGTCGTCCAGCGAGTCCTTGCGCGACTGCGAGCGCTCCAGCGAGCCGCCGCGCGTCCACGGCCGGTAGGTGTAGCCGCAGCCCCCCAGGCGCCGGCGGCGGCGGCGGCGGCGGCGGCCGCGGCACTGGCACCCGAGGATGCGCACAAAGGCGCGCTTGAACTCCTTGCTGGAGCACGGGTAGATGATGGGGTTGAGGCAGCTGTTGAAGTAGCCCAGCCAGAAGACCACCTTGAACACGGCGTCGGGGGCCTTCAGGGTGGAGAACAGGGAGCCTGCAGGGGGAATGGGTGGGCACAGGCAGAAAGACAAACAATCGGTGAGCAGTCAGACCCTCTCTTCCATGTGATTTGCCCACAGACTGTCAAGCGGTGGTATTCCCGTCTCCTGCTCAGGCCAGCTCCTCTACCTGGAATACTGCCTTATCCATCTCAAAACACTTGACTCCTACATGCTTTTCTAAAGTCCAACCTCCATCTCTTCACCTTCGCCCATAAAATCTTTCCTGATTTAGCTAAACAGGGTTCAAACAACTGCATCTATAACGTTCCTAGGATAGCGCTTACCACTGTCTTCGTGAATGAGAAAAATAACAATCACACACAGCTCTTGGACAGCTGTTGGAGCGGCACTGTGTTGCTTCTTCACCTACTCTTTTATCCTTCACAGAATGCCATGAAGTATTTCCATGGGAAATATTAGACGTATTAAAGACCTAAGGGTGAAAGGTAAACCTTTATAAGGTAACAGAAGACAAGGTAAATGACAGTCTTACCGATGGAGAGGTGAAGGAAGAGGACTTCATACTTCAAAAAGATAAACTATGGGGCAAGAGTCGGAAAAGATATTTACAATGTCTTAAGACTGTCAAGGGATTGGTATTTAGAGTATATTAGGACTCCTGAAGAGAAGGAGAAGGAAATGGCAACCCACTCCAGTGTTCTTGCCTGGAGAATCCCAGGGACAGGGGAGCCTGGTGAGCTGCCGTCTATGGGGTCGCACAGAGTCGGACACGACTGAAGTGATTTAGCAGCAGCAGTGGCAGCAGGACTCCTGAAAGTCAATAAGACAAAGACAGCATTCCCAGTAGAAAGGTGGGCAAAGAAAAGGAACAGGCAATTTACAAAATAGAAAACTTGAAGGCTAATGAGCATATGCCAAAGTGCTTGAAATATTAGGCAGTCAAATAAAGTGAGAGCCACAAATTGAGAGGACATATTTATTACATTGGCAAAAATTAGAAAGCTCGATAGTGCCAAGTTCAGGCAGGGGTGTGGAAACATGGAGAGTCTCCTGCTGGTGGTGGGCACAGGCTATGAAGACCTGATCCCATTAAGGATACAGATACCTCCTGACCCAGCAATTTTGCTCCAGGGCAGGGGTGTGAAAGAATTTTCACACAGGTCATCAGGGGCCATGTGTGACTATGCTCAGGGTGATGGTGTTTATGGTGCTTATGGTGACAGAGTTGGAAAACACCTGGGTGCCCCACACTGGGAATTATGGAAAAGTAGAGTTTGGAACATGCATAGCAGAGCAATTACACAGTACCTAAAAGTCCAAATAGCAATATGGAAAGATCTCAAATACCTTGTCCTTTGTTAAAAAAAAAAAAAGAAACAGAATGAGTTTTATAACATAACATCTTTCAAGTAACACACTAAACAACCAAGCTCATTTGCAAAAACACTTTCAAGTTAAAAAATACATATCAAATGCAAAATGGGTGTCTAAGGGTGACGCAGAGGGAAAGGGGAATAGGGGATAGGAATAAAAGGAAATAAATCAATAAAATAAGAGAGACGCCAGACTTAGACCTATGATGATGGGGTGCTGATAGCTGAGAAACATGACTAACTCATGTGTCTGAATTGAGGTCCAAAAGTATTAGTGCAAAATTAAGTTCAAAACTATTTCCATTTTAAATGCAAGGCAACTGAGACTTGGAGAGGTTAAATGACTTGCCCCGGGCCACATAGCATGTTTGTAATATAGCTGGGATTTAAACTCAATTCTGTTTGAATATGAAACATTTTTGCTTGTTTGTTTGTTTGTTTTGAATGCTATTAATTTCCTTTTGTGGAAAAATGAGAAGCTATTAAAAAGCAAAAAGAAAAGAAAAAATATTTTAAAAGCACAAATAAACCCACAATGCAGAGATACCACATTTTGGTACATAAAGTTCCAGGTTTTTTTTCCTGTTGTATACACTACACACGTAAATACATACCTAAATGTTTGCATATGTACATGTAAATGTTGTATATACATATACATATGTAAATGAATATATATTTGTTGTATATGCATACGTAAATGTTTTAAAAATGCAACTATACTTCACAGAACATTCTGTAACTTCAAACCATGTCCATAAGCCAGCCACTCCCCCTGCAGCACAGTGACTTTCGTACTCCTGTCTTACCCTCCTTTGTTACACTGTGAGCTTCCTAAGAGCCTGGTCTTTGGGATCACCTTTGAATCCATTTGAAGGAAGAGTGTATGAGTGGGAGAAATCTTAGCAAATCTCGAAATCCAACTTCCTCACTTGATCCATGGAGACACTGAGACCCAGAAAGTGGCTGAAGCTCCCACAGTTGTTGCATAGATGCCAGAAGAATCCCTATTTTGGATTGCACCTGAGTTTCCCCCCTGCAGCACTTGACCTTCTTGATTATCGAGCTCTGGCTTGTTGTTACAGGGAGCCTCCCGATTCTCTGCTTGAAGATGCAGGGATGGTGGCTGGCCAGGTTCCTGGTGCAGGGTTAAATCAGAGAGGGATTAAACTTGGAAAGAGGGTTATCCATACTGGTTGCGTGCGCGCCAAGCTGCTTCTGTCGTGACTGACTCTCTGTGAGCCTATGGACTGTAGCTCACCAGGCTCCTCTGCCCATACGATTCTCCAGGCAAGAACACTAGAGTGGGTTGCCGTGCCATCCTCCAGGGTATCTTCCCCGACCCAGGGATCAAACCCGCGTCTGCTACGTCGCCTACATTGGCAGGCGGGTTCTTTACCACTAGTGCCATCTAGTGTTAACTATAAGTACGCTGACTTCTCAATTCTGGTTTAGGGCTAGGTGAGGCCAATGAGGGCGCCACCTCGTGGTCTGATTCGTGATAAGGTCTGCACCGTTGGGTTTTTGTCCCACTGTTGGCATCACCGACTCGATGGACGTGAGATTGAGAAAGCTCTGAGTTGGTGATGGACAGGGAAGCCTGGCATGCTGCAGTTCCATGGGGTCTCAAAGAGTTGAACGCGACTGAGCGACCGAACTGACTGTCCAAGATTATCCTTTGGCTAGAAGGCTCCAGTGAAAATGCAAATATGACATGTGAACACCTAGTATCCATGATGGGGTGAGTTGTTTCTGCCCATGTGGATGGTCTTGCTTCTGTCACAGAGTCTAAAGGGAATAGTTAAAATGGTCTTGACAAAAATGGGAAACTGAAGAATAAATCTGGGAAGTGGAGAGAGGGAGCTAACACTTGGAAACCTTGTGCATTACTCTGGAGGGTAAATGCTAGTGAGCATGTGCACAGGTAGGCACACCATCCATAAGGACATGTTAAGCCCTGGGATTGAGCTGGGGGGGCACAGACAATTGTGGCAAAGGTGGGGACGGTCCAGAGCACGAGAGCATCCTTGCTGAAGACAGATTTGTAACTCTGCTTGCCAGCCCTTTGAAGATGATAACAAAATGGCCTAAAGGGGGTGTATCCTGAAGGACCAGCTTTTAAAGGATACACAAATTACAATAATACTAACAGCTAATATTCATTAGAACCATCATTGTGTGTGCTTTATGCACATCCTACACTAAACCTTTTACACCATTCACCTGTTTAATGATCACAATAATCTCTAGATGAACGGACTGTAGTTGGTCCCATATTATGAATCAGGACACTAGCATATGAGTGGTAGCTTTTTACATTTTTATACACTCATTCTTTCATTTATTCATTCATTCATTCCACAAATATGGAGCTCTGCTAAGTGCCAGGCAGGAGGCCAACCTGTGGGGATACAATTAGGGGTGTTTCTGCCCTGTGGCAGCCCACAGGCTTGTGAGGAGGCAGTTCATTGCACCGGAACACACATAGCATTATGATAGGGGCATAAATGCCATCCTCTCCTTCTGTGCCCTACGGCATTTCTTCCTATGTTCTTCACCTGCATCACACTGAAAGCACCTTGTTAGGGTTAAAGATGGGCTGGAACTTGGTCTTTATTTTCTTACAAAGCACTCTCCAAGGACCAGTGGGCTGAGATGTGTTCAGCCAAAGGGAAGGGGGGTGATGTTGATTTTCTCATGGCATTCACTTACAGCCACAGTTTGAGCTTGGGCTCCCTGAGATGCCTACTCCTCTGAGAAGAAGGTCATTCTTTGCCTTTAGTCAATTTAGGCAATGTGGCCTGGTGACTTGAGCTCAGAGTTTGCATCCCTTTTTTTGAAGTATTGGCTGTTTGACTTTTGAAAAGTTAACTGGCTCTCTCAGGCTAAATTTTCTTAT